GTTTTATGAACACCGTTAATGTATTCTCCACCAATGTTAAACAACGCGTTGGAGCGATCACTCGTAAGAGCAGTTTCAAAATGGCACCCAAATCGGATGTTAAGGTTACGCTACAGATGGTGCCACGTCCCACACTCTCGCCAATGCTCGTGCGTTACGAAGGACCCTTGATACGTTTTCCATCCGGTGTTGTGGAAGACATACTAAAAGAGATGCAAAACCGGAAAGCCATATTGCGCGATCGGCAATTCCAAACATTCCTCGATCAGGAGATGAAGACGCCCAAGGAAACCATACCACTCGATTGCATTACGACATTGCAGTGTGTGAGCAATAGTCGTGTAACGGATAATTCGACACATTTCTATTGCTTTGAAATCACCACAGCAATGACGAAGAATCAAACGAGTTCGGGCAATGTGCAGGCAATGTCGAATCCCAACCTGGTTATGACGAGTACCTCATCGGGCAACTGCAAGCATCAACGTGTGGCACATCTGTATGGTGTGAGCAAGGAATCAGAGCGGTGAGTAGAAAAGGAAGATGAAGAAAGAGAGAGGAAAAGAATACCAACCGAACTGTTTTTAAAATTTTTATTTTTAATCCTCAGCGGCATTTGGATGCAAAAGTTGTTGGAGAGCCTGACCAATACCATACCACCGAAATATCTCTGCCATTACTATCGTGCCGGTTGGTGTTATCTGAAGAATTCAATAACCTCCGAGTGGAGCGGCACTTGGTTAGTGTTGAAGAAGAATCAGAGACGTTTGATATTTGTAAGTGAAGCTGCCGGAAATCTGGAGAAAATGGATCTACGCAAAGCGCGCTGCATAGGTAAGTCTATAGAGACAGAGTTGAACTTGTTCCTTCTTATAAACTCCTTCTTTTAGTGCTCAAAGACAGCGATGAAACAATACGCAACTTACACGTCGAGTCTGGTCCGACGCTTATGATAGACTGTCCACCATTTACGGTATACATGATTATGTCCTCATCCCGCGAAACTAAAATTTGGCGTCATATCATCCGCGAAGTGGCACACAATAATGGCTTCTCACTGGTCGATCAACAGCTAACTAAATTCAATGTTCCCGTTATTGTCGATAAGTGCATCAATTTCGTTTATATACATGGTTCCATGTCAGAGGGTATCTATCGTAAATCCGGCTCTGAAAATTCCATACTAAAGCTATTATCCGCTTTCCGTGCTGATGCATTCAATGTTGAGATCACACGAAACGAATATAACGAACACGATGTGGCTAACGTCTTGAAGCGTTTCATGCGCGATCTGCCGGAACGTTTGATGGGTAAACTCTCCGAGAGCTTTATGTGTGTGACTGAACTCGCGAAAGCGTCCGAGAAGATACAAGCGTACAAAGAACTCTTGGCACGCCTGAGTGTGATCGAACGTGAGACACTGAAGAAAATTGTCGGACATTTGGCATTTATAAGCTCACAGAAAACGAAGAACAAAATGAGTACGAAAAATCTGACAATGATTTGGGGTCCAACGCTGCTACAAAATCACGTAAGCACTTAAAGTCCTTGGGATTTGTGAATAAACTCGGTTAAAAGTCAACATTGTTTATTATTATTTTTTGACCAGCATCAGCAAGAGGAAATGGTTTACTCACAGAAGGAGGCTGATGTCTTGACTGACCTAATAACACTTTACAAAAATCTATTTCCCTTGACGCCGGAGGAAATGGTTAGTTTTGTTTTTGGCTTTAGTTCCACATCTCATTAAAAATCTATTATTCTAGAAAAAGGAGCAAGAAATGCTGATGTGTTTGCAAAAATACTACGCGGCCGCTGAAACGATGGCAGACTCTGTGAAGAAATCGGGCGATTTGAAGATGTGGGTGGTGCTCAATGCCAAACCAGAGCTTACAAATGAGGTAAGTGTTAGAATATATCTTGGGGTGGAAAAATGTGGGTGTGAAAAAAAAAGACATTCTGCGTTGTGAGTTGAATTTCTCAAAGTTTTTAGTGAACAAGTAGGGTTAAGTTAGGTTTGATTATACTGGGCGACTAGACGACTGTCATGATATAAATAGACCTACTGGTCCTTAGTACTCAGACAGATAAGCAGTTTTGTTCGAGCTCCAGTATTCATCATACAGGATTTCAAGGGTTTTTACGAACTTTTAGAGAGACTTGACATCAAGTTTTGATACTTCAACTAGTCCTTTGAAGTGCGAAGCTTCTGGATATAAAAGACGAGTTCTTGATAAAGCTGAACAGAAGCAGAATGGGTATGTCATAGTCTCTCTCATACTTACTGTATCGCTACTAATGCCGGCTCTTAACTGAAGCCAGTTGTGACCTGTCATTAGTACAACAATCGTCTAGTAATTTTGGAGACCGTCAGAGTAAAACGCATGCGTATTTCTCTTTGAAAGAAATGCACATAATCTTGGCTATCCTGCATGTCCATAAGACATTTCATCTCACTCTCAACCGTCCTTCAGCGCTTTTGGAAATATCATTATATATCGTTTTTAGGGGCTTACGTATTGCAAGTACTGGTTCGATAGCCAGACGGAGGACACTTTTGGGAATATCATCAGCAATTGTGTTTTCTAGAATGCCCTTGTGACCTGGAAACCATTTTATTTGCAGCCACTTTTCGGCAGTCACAACATCTACTACTTCAAAGATCATGCTTTGACGTCATACTATGCCAAATTCCTTATTGGCCGGTTTGACGTATATATTGATCTTTTTATGTTATGTATGTATCCCAGCAGCTTTCCTAAACGCAGACGGTCGCTTGCAAGGCACTGCAGTATTCCGGAAACTGAAAGAGTTGCCGGAGCTCCAGCTCAGAGCAATAGTTTCCGGCACCCACACCATTAGTCATTTATGATACGTCTGTGTAGACGTTGCTCGACTCGAAATGTCACAGCTTGAAGTTTTTGTATCCACAAAGTACCTCAAACTCTGTAAGCCTGTTTTGAGTTATCTCGGCTAAATATGTTTCAGATTTGATATCGCAAAGGTAAAAAAGTTAAGATGGAAGTCTTGAGTGGATTTTGCCTCGTCTTCTTCTTCAAAAAAATAATTCTACAACTACACAACAGTCTTTTAAAACGCATTTATTTAATGCTCAAGCTTTAGGGGGCTCGGTGCTCTCACTAAAAGATGTGATAATTGCATTATTTATAATACTATTCGAATTTAAATGGTTGTGTTGCAAACTTCTAAGATTTGTTTACTACTAACTTGTGTTCATTTTCGTGCTTTGTCGTTTTTATTGCCCAAAAGTTAAGAGTTAAGGTTAGGATAGAGCAAATAAGTGTTCTTGAAAGGACAAACATTGATATTCACCATTATTCGGTAACTTCGGTAGCATCATTACCAAGCTTTTAGGAGGCATATGACTTTATTGGTACTGCGTTTCCACGGCAGTTGTGTCCAAGTAACCGAAACGGACCCATATTATTATGATCGGCCAAGGACTGTCAGCTCGGTTCCATTCCTTGAATTTGCTCCAGGAATATTTACTGTCTCTACAACCACAACCACAAGAACAACAAATTTATTGTTTCTACAATTCTACGTTAATTCAAATTTTCGATTTATTTAAACAGGAAAAGGATCAGGTCAATGTCACAATCACACCCACCCGCACCGCTTACGATATCTGCCGCGAGTTAGCGCCCAAAATGCATATGTCAACCCATCAGGTATCACTGCACGAAGTCATATTGAACGATTGCTTGGAGCGTCCGCTACACCATGACACAAAAGTATTCGATGTCGTGCTCAATTGGTCCTACTGGCCCGAAGATGATCGCAAAAACAACTATCTCGTCGTGAAGCCGATCGATACGCTGCGCGAAGTACAACGTGCCGTTAAAAACCTTGCAACCGTAACACCCGGCAAAGAGCTGAAATTCGCCGACAATCGCACGAAATCCTTCAAATCCCTGCTCTGCGAGTTACGCGACGGCAAAATTGTGATATCGAAAAAAGACAAAAATGACAAAACCACCATCGTGCGTGAAATCTTCCTACACAGCACCACAGCATATTTGGGCTTTGAGAAGAAACGCGACTTTCCGTGGAGCTGGGCCATCACATTTGTCGAGCGCACGCAAACCCAGATTTTGAGGTTAGTTTGTGGTTATAAAGGGTAAAGTTTGGGGTAGTTTAAATTGAAGGTTATTTTTTTTTTAATTTTTTACATTTTTTAT